AGATTTGATTTGATGCGACAGGACACGAACGCTGAGAGGACTTGGAGGTTGATGACAACAGGCACCACTGCGCTACTCCAGCACGCCAAATCGACCAATCGACACCCCCGTGCAATGAGTGCGACCGAGCAGATCGATGCGGAGCCCTGGCTCAGCTGGCTTGACCCGAGGCAGTGCTCGAACTTGTGATGAACTGGACGAGTCGACTCCATCGTGGCCCCCCAGCCTGCGTGCCACGGCAGACGCGCAGCACCAGCGCATGCACTCCATATTGCGAGTTGCCAGACTACTTGTACCGGCCGATGTCCGGCACGATACCGACGACCCTTGAACGCAGCCCGGCGGAAGCGAGAGCATGTTGGACTGTGTCGTTGACTCGCAGAAACAATGATTTACAGGAGGCTTTTTTGCTGGTGCTCCCTGGTCTCCTGAGGTACTTGGAACCCTTGGTACCGGTGCCATAACGGTTCATGATGCACATTAGTACATCCAATGACATCAAACCGTTTCACTGCGACCGGTGGCAAGCAAACAAACCTTGGAAGTCGACAGAGACGCTGATACGGTCAATTCCTGATGCAGAAACGCTCAACGGAAAAGCGTGCCATTCGTACTTCGTATCGAGTACAGGTAATATGCGGGTGAAACCGGCTGACTAAGAATCAGTTCAGCCGGTCGACAAAAAGAGGAAGCTTGACAGAAAGCTGAGGAAGAAAATCGAGCTGAGTGTGACGAGCCACATCACATCCATCCATCACATGCGCTTCAGACTCTCAAACAACCGGTTGTGCACCCGATCTCTTATCATGCAGTCCAGAGGCTTCCATTCCCAGCCGAGATGCCGTCCGTCGATTCTTCGTTCGTTACGAAAAATGTCCAAGCAGATTCTCCGCAGCTGGACATTTGATACTCCCTAAAGCTCCCTCTCCTCCTCCCCCTGAGCGCCGTTGCTTGGCGCCCAAACGGCGCTGTGGTAGCAAAAGGATTTGTCGGATACGACCACAATCGCGTCCGTCCGTCCATCCATCCTCACTCCATCGTTCGTAACTCCGGCCACCTCTTTAACAGAATTTCAGAGAGGGTAAAAATAGGTGCGGCCCGTCAGCACTGCCTCTCCCCCGTCATATTAAAGAGCCCATGCCGGCCGAAACTTGCCGGGACCAGCGCATAAACACTCGACTGCTAATATCTTGGCAGACCTGTGCACAACCGCGCTCAGCCCCCTCTCACTCTCTGCAATGCTCCCTCTCTCTCTTTACTCATTCGCTCATTGGATCCCTGAAATCTTTCTCCGTCTCCCGCGATAGGGCGAACTACAAGCTAGTACTACTACATACTTTGCACGACCGGGTGCAATCCTTGCCGTGAATTTGTCTCCGTGCTAATCCCAACATCAAAATTCGTGTTATTCTAGAAGAACTGGGGAACCCATCAAAAGCACGGAGAAAAAGAAAAAACTGCATTATCAGAAGAACAAACAAGTACTCCGTGCAGTAGCCAAGGACTCCACGGAAGGCGAGGGAGGAAAAAGAACTGTGCTTAAAAGAAGGAAGAATTGAAGCTTCTTCTTTGGGCCGTGGTTGTCGCGACCCCATGTCACACTGCTTTGCTTCAAGAAAGGGTACCTTTTCCGCACAACGCGGAGGATGATGTTGATTCTCCTGTCACACAAGGCTTTGGGAGGGGACAGCGTCGGGTTGCCTTACTCGAACAACTGCGTCCTCGTAGACCATATCACGTTCGAGGCGTGTCTAACATCCCCTTTCCTCGGGCATTCACAAGTACGACACGTGTATTCTACCCAATGCATCGCCAAGTCTCTCGACTTCGGCTCAGACGATAAGGTACTTCGTATATGTCATCACGGACCACGCATCAGGTGCTTCTAAAACATCAATCTCATGTTCACTTGAAACAATCGAGCTTCTAGATTGGGAGACACTGTCAAGATATCTTGATTAAAGTACGGAGTAGGTACTCGTTAGATAGTAGGAGAGGTTACTCCAGCATTTCTGAGCACCATGCGTCATCATCGTCATCATCGTTCATGCCGATCCATAACACAGCCCTTGAAAAAGAAAGGCTTCTCGTGTCACAGAGTTCGAAGCGCATTGTATTGATCGCCATTGTACTTCGTGGGAGATGCAAAGGCCGGTTTATTGCCAAATTGCCTATATGTATTGATACCATTCATTCATTAAGTATCTTATGAAGTCTTTGGCGAGATGTTGCGCCTGATGACTCGGAGACGACGCGCAACGACTCCAATAATCCACAGAAATAGTCGGGTGCCAGTTGCAGCTCGTAATATAAGACTTGGAGTTATTATACCGCACAAAGGCACGAACCACAAAAGTACCACCAAGGACTGTGCCCTCATGTCTACATGCACTGCCTTTGAACTCGTGCCTCTCTTCAGATGCTGACGATAGCCCGTCCATATCGTCTCATGCTGCAAGAATCTGTCGCGAAGCAAATGGAGTTCTCATCTACCCTGGAAAACAGCAACCATCAAGAATCCCAAGACCTCGATAATGCCGCGCACAAACCGAATACCCTTATGCCGGACCGTCTTTCGTTTATTAATACATACATATCTAGCCATCTATGAGAGTATGCTATTATTTCCTGTCTGAGGTTCGGTCCTGATCCTCGACCATGCCAAGTTATCTGAATGCTGCTATCTGCATCTGGCTAGACTCCCGAGCTGCTGCCAGACTCATTTCATCAACCAGCGATTGATAACAAACCCACGTCTTCCTCTTGACCAAGTCTTCTGTCCAAAATTAGAGAACAAGCAGCTTCCCTAGCAATGGAGCTATGAAGAACTTCCGTCAATCCACTTCACAATGAGCGTTAAAACCAGAGACCGGCTCACAGTAATGGCTGGCATACTCAGGAGAACCGCGCCGAGAAACAGCAGCGAATCGCCGTCATGGAGACTACAGACAAGGAGCATCTTGCAGCCAACACGTCGTCGTTGAATTCAGAGACCTGTGACTCTGCACAGATATGGCCCGAGTTCGAAGAAAACCCATCAATTAAGCTCCAGTCGAGAGGTTACCTCACCATCATCTGATCTGGCTTTTTTGAAGCACTCATCTCGTAAGTTGTGTCTAGCCTATGTGAAATTTCCCTTACTCATCTCTACAGATCGCTTACAGATTACCAATGCTTCCACTCTCCCAAAACTCGCGGAAAACTGCAATTTCGAATCCAACACTGCCTTGGCCTTGACTTTGACCTGATATCTCCTGGCCTAGGCCCTTGATCCCCTCACCTTTGCTTTGATCCCTTTGATCTAAGATACATGGACCGCCGGTGGGTGATCGATATATCGAGCGTCATCTTCACTGCATTCAGCACTGCCCAATTGGGTTCTCGACTGGTCCTATTATTAGATATTTGACCCAGACAGTTGGACTCAGGTATGGCTTCATTCTCACGGCCGCTCCTGGAGTCACCGTCTTGATCCTCAGCGTGCTGCTTCTCCTGGAGATCGATCACGCACTCATCCGAACAAAGACTTGGCTAGCAGCAGCAACCATGGCCACAAATCTGAATCGAACAGGAAGAGATGCCGGGAAGCCATGAACAGACACAGCAGTCCGCTCCATCAACGGGATCAGCTGGACAGTCGTCTACACGATTCCTGGGACTTCTCATGAGAAGTCCTACTTGCCTCATCATGAGCTTCTAGGGTCGGTTGGGAATACAATATACCACGACACGAGTATCAGAAGAGCAGTTCTTTCGCGCCCCTTGCAAAATGACAGGAAGAATAAACCTGCCGTCCAGCCGATCAGAGAAAACGACGAAGTCCCTAGGCCGGAATTTCGAAAGCCTGGAATGTTCCTCGATTCTGTTGCCATCTCCATCACGCTCTCCGGGTTCGGCTGGACAATCCAGACGCACCAGCACTGGATGCTGCCCATCGTCGGGTCGTCCATATCCGGCTTCGGCATGAGTCTATTCTGCTGCCGCTGAAGCTGTACTTCTTGGACGCCTTCAAATACTCTGCGGCGGCGCTGGCGGCTTCTTCGCTTCTTCGCCCCCCTTCGCCATACCCCTTTTCGCCCCACAACTGATTAAGGCGAAGGGACTAGGGAAACATATTGTTTCCTTGGCGAGTTGAGTATCACATCAAGCATGTCGCTGCCTCTGTGAGTGTATGTATCTCCAGAGGAGATCATCCGAGGCAGAAGCAATCTGAACCGTCGAGACTGAGGGCCAAGGCGGGATATTTAGATATTTCGAATGGCGAACCATACCACGAATTCGAAACCTTCCACTTCCTAGGATCCTCTACTAGAGTAGAAGCACTCAAAAACATCAGATAGAAGACAGAATGAGCGTTCAGATGGTTGACCACCGGCCGCATACGGGGGCTGCTCGGGTAGGTGGCAGATATTGCGGGTACAGAACCCGGAGACCACAACGATAGTTGGCCATTACGCACTCACTGAATGCCCATTTCCTGTCACTGAACCAAAGGGCCCGACAAAGAGTCACTGTTCGAGTACTGCATACGGAGTTTAGCATTGTTCAAGCCGAGTGTAAAGGCAAGCTCCATGGCAGTTGGGAACGTATTGCTTACTCATCCTATCTTATTCGAGTGAGTGAGACGCCTGGCCCTATCAGAATCGCGACTTTCCTCCACCATCTACATGTCACTGTCCATGGATCTCGTCTGACGCATACGAATAACGACAAAGCTCACTTTTTTATTTGGAAAACGATGAAGCTGGGCACTCAGCGAGTTCATGCGTGCCAGACGTGTCGAAAACGAAAAATAAAGGTAGCGAGACAGTGTAAGACAGGACCGAAAAGCAAGTGTCGACTGAACTAACTGAGATCTAGTGTGACAACAAGTTACCTGACTGCACTCCATGCACGAGATTAAAGAAGAAGTGTCCCGGACCTACTGAAGGCCTCATTTTTATTCATAGTGTCGATTGTAGGTCAACCACGAGTATGAGGCGCCCGTCTCCTTGTTAACGATGCACAAAGACTCTCAGCAGCATCAGCAGCTCGTTCGCCGCCATCGAGATGATAATGCGACAAGCTCTCCGTCTCCCCCGACGAAACGCACGCGCGCATTGAATATTGATGATTCACAAACACCGATACCCCGTATACCGCCTGACATTGACGGTGGCGCGCACGAAGTCATGTCCCGCCTCGCTGTCGAGATTGGATCCCATCATTTGTCGCCATGGACGCCTCACCCATGGTTCCTGTCGGTTCCCCAGCTTGCGCTTTCGTCTGATATTCAGTCAAAGATGCTAGTACTGCCATTTCGCGCCATGGCGGTGGCCTTCAAGGCCCTGGGTGGGCGCGATGCGAAGCTGAGAGCAGAGGCGTACCGATACTACTCCAACGGCTTGGCGCGTCACCAGGCTCAGCTTCAGCATTTCGGCCCATCTCAGAAGCGCCAGCGCCTTGCTTCGATTCTCAACCTCCTCCTCATGTCGATGGCACTGCTGGAGTTTGAGATGATGGCTCCTCTTGCTAATGATTCTTGGTTTCCGCATGCTTATGGCGCGTTGACCCTCTTGGAACAAGTTGGGCCTGAGGGCTGCCAGGAGTCGCCATTTTTCGAAATCTTCTGGCAGTTACGATACTTCATGGTCAGTCACTATGCATTTTATCAACAACATATAATGTCATATGAGATCTCACCGTTCTACAGTCTTACGTGGCACTGGCTACTCGCAAGATGTCATTCCTTGGGTCGCGACCCTGGAGGGAGATACCCTTTCGACGCCGCGGCAAAACCGAGTTTGACTGCGTCATTGATACTCTACTCCTTGTTTATATCCAACAGGAAACGGGGGCCTTGTCGGACATTGAGCCCAAACAATACCAGAGAGTCGGAAAGAAATCGGGCTCCGGACCACGAGAACTCAAGTCCTCCGACCAAAGCCAACTCACCAACCCCGAGCGTATAGTTCGGATTCTCGCTAACCTTCGAGAGCTCGTATTAGCATGCAAAGTCGATGCTGGTCCCAAGTGCCAGGAAAGTATATCAAAGGCCATCCTTTCAGATTCCAAACACCTGATGAATCAACCGTGCCTGCCGTTCAACGTCGGGCTCCAAGTCACGGCCGCGGTAAATTTGGTGGCTCGTTATGCGTTGGATTCTGTGCAAAAACAAGAGGCAGAAACGCTTTGTGCCGACTGGCGCAGTCGGGTTGCTTTGACATGATCAACGACAGTGTCCTTCCACAGGCATCTAGTATCTGTGCAATTGTTTTAGAGCCACTGCCAGAACAGCAGGGCAGAAGTCTTTGGTATCAGGGGTCATCCTGCTTTGTAGAGACCAGGCAGGTGAGCAGGCAAGAGCTTCTGGCAAGTCCTGCCTCGCGGGAAATGCACGTGGCCATATCCATTTTTGAACCCTGAATAATTGATTCATTCTTGACCTTCCACTAACTACCTACCTTACCTTACCTAGTACAGTTCATCATCACGTCGAATTCTCCCCAAAGACAGCTATCCCATTCCCAACTACGTCTCGTTCACGCACGCTCCCTACCAACCTGGACGACCAACCCTCATCGTATTCCTCAAGAATGAACAATAACTGGATCGAATCCTCTGAGTTGCCGGCTCCATCATCCAGTCAGTTTTACTCTTTGCCGGCTCAGGCCCTATCTGTTGATAGCCACGACGATACGAGCTCACCACCGAGCGGCAAGCTCTTCTCCGGCGATCGAGGATTGCCGAGATCGAACTCTCTACAAACTTCACAGCTGTGGCCGCCCAGCCAGGATGGCTCGGCTGCCCTTGTCCACGACTGCATGATATCGTGTCCGGATTTGAATCACGCTGCAAGGCAACGCTGGGTAAACGATGGTCTACTCTGTGCTTTCACCAGCTTACGATAGATGCCGAAGCTAACACCAGATGAAAAACAAGGGAAATGCACGCCAAATGGGAGGTTAGAAACGTCGCTGCTCTCGCTCTCAGCCCACGACACCACCGAGTTTTCGCGAACGCATGGCCGTCCGATTCCGTCGCCATCGCCCCTGGGACTCTCCAAGGACATTTCGAGGCTCAACAGCTGCACAACTTGACTTTCCGAGATTTCAAGACGGGAGAGAGCGCAGACGTAAAGCGCGAGGATCGCTAGAGCAGCACAGTCCCTCCGATATCGGGAGCCCTCCTCAGAGCCCTCTCGCGGGAGCCAGGGCAGCAAGCCCGTTGGTCGCGGCGGGAATCATGTTGGCCACGGTTGAGCTGGACAGGCTGAGTCGCGGTAAAAGGAGGGAAGAGGGGGGAGAGGTCTGTTTATGGGAAGACGGTCGAGGCTTCGACTGATGAGGGAGATGCAGACATGTTCGAATTAACCATGCTGTTCTATGAGACAGCTCAGTATGACTACATGTAAAAGTAAAGTAGAGCTTTGACGGCATTGATAGATGGTACCTTTTCCTCGTCAAGATCTCTACATGTTGGAGATGGCTCCATGACGATTTGCGACTGATTTGCTGTGTCCCGTTATCATACGCAGATTCACGACTAACAATGCTAGCAAGCAGCAGTTCCTCTTTGGAACTGCTTTCTTGTTACACCATCATTTCTCCCAACATCTTCCACTTTCAGCATGCAGTCGATTAACGTTCTGACTAGTACCTACTAAGGCAATCCCTCGGAGTCCCCCAAATCCCCCTAAAGGCGCATCATGTGCCGTGGCGGCAGTGGAGATTCCCAGTGGAGATTCAAGGTCAGCTCAGCAGGAGAAACAAGATGCTGGAGGGCCTCTGCGATTGGGCCGGGTTTCGTCGGATTAGCGCTTCGGTCCTAGTGGTTGCAAGGCACGAACAAGTCTGGGGAAGCTCCATTCGACGTTCCGAGACTTGTCTCTGAATCGACTCCAAGTTGCCGACGGTCAGCCGAGGCGAGGCGTCTCTGCACGATGGCTGCTGTTGTTAGTACATAATCACACGCAGCCCGTGCCTCTGTTGCTCTTTTGTTGTGCATTGAATCATGCCAATTGTCCCTTCTCCTCTCCCACCAGGACGCATCTGAGCAATTGACGATGCTGCGACAGTCCTTCAGGGCCCTTGCCCGCACAGCGCCAGTAAGACGGGCTGCTGCCGCGAGGAGCTACGCCACGTTCAACTGGGAGGATCCTCTCAATGCGAAGAACCTGTTTACCGAGGACGAGCTGGCCATAGCAGAAACCGCAGAGCGGTACTGCCAGGAGCGCCTACAGCCCAGGGTCCTGCGTATGGCCTCCTCTTCGTCATCATGATTATACTCAGACCCAAACTTGACTCGCTGACTCTCTCCTGCTTTGCTTCCACAGAGGCCTACCGCGACGAACACTACGATGCCAAGATCCTCGAGGAAATGGGCGAGCTCGGCCTGCTGGGCTCCAGCATCAAGGGCTACGGATGCGCCGGTGTGTCCTCGGTGGCCGGCGGCCTCATCACGCGAGCGGTCGAGCGAGTCGATAGCGGCTATCGGTCGGGCATGTCGGTGCAGTCGTCGCTCGTCATGGGCGGCATCTACGAGTTCGGCACCGAGGAGCAGAAGGAGAGGTTCCTCCCGGAAATGGCCAGGGGCAAGCTCATTGGCGCCTTTGGCCTGACGGAGCCGAACCACGGCAGCGACCCGGGCAGCATGGAGAGCGTGGCGAGGCCGCACCCGACGAAGAAGGGATACTACTCGCTCAGCGGGGCCAAGACGTGGATCACCAACAGCCCCATTGCCGACGTGCTGCTGGTCTGGGCCAAGCTGCAGGAGACGGGCAAGATCAAGGGCTTCTTGGTCGAGAGGAAGGACTGCCCGCCGGGGACGCTGCAGACGCCCGCCATCAAGGACAAGAATGGGCTGCGGGCGTCCATCACGGGCATGATCCAGATGGACGACGTGCCGGTGCCCGAGGCCAACATGTTCCCCGACGTCGAGGGCCTCAAGGGACCCTTTAGCTGCCTCAACAGCGCGCGCTACGGCATCTCGCTGGGCGTCATGGGCGCCCTGGAGGACGCCATCGCCAGGGCGCGCACGTACGCACTGGAGCGCAAGCAGTTCAAGGGCAACCCCCTTGCGCGGTACCAGCTGATCCAGAAGAAGCTCGCCGACGCCGTCACGGACGCCGCGTACGGCACGCTGGCGGCGGTGCAGGTGGGCAGGCTCAAGGACGAGGGCAAGGTGACGCCGGAGATGATCAGCATGGTCAAGCGGCAGAACTGCGACGCGGCGCTGCGCAACGTCCGGGTGCTGCAGGAGATTTTTGGGGGCAACGCGGTGAGCGACGAGTATCACATTGGGAGGCATGTGGCCAATCTGTTTGTGACGCAGACGTACGAGGGACAAAGCGATATTCACAGTGAGTTTTCTTTTTGCATATTCCTCCCTTGACGAGGCTCTTGCGTTGGAATTGTTGCTAACCAGGGGATGTGTGTTTAGGTTTGATTTTGGGCAGGGCGATTACCGGGATTCAGGCCTTTGTGTAGACGGTATACTTGCTGTAGATGAAGATGATGATTATGAACATAATAAAACGAGACATGTGCTTGAAAGTAGCTTGGTGTTGTTGATGATGAGTTGGTGTTGGGTCTATGCCCAGTGTCACCCTTGGCAGCACCACCACAACCTCCGAGTCCTGTGATATCTGCTCGTCCAAGGCTCACACGACCAGAGTATGTCTTTGGCTATATATATATATATATTTTTTTTTTGGTGGAAGTCATGTCGAGCCGAGTCTCGTGAGTGTCTCATATAGAAACCCCGCCGCGGGGTGCCGTGAGATGCCGGATGCGTCCAGCGAGGTAGAACCTGGTGCCACGGTGAATCTTCGCCAATCTACATACATCGAGTACATGAGCAGATCATCTAGATAATCAAGAGTCTGATGGGCAATATGGATTAGAAATACTGGGCAGATTGCCCTATGACTAGCATCGCAACCGGATATGTAAGGCAGAGTCAGGCATATTGTGGGCTGGGCTTGGAATCACAACGTCAGCGCCTCCTGCGTTGTCATCCCGCCACGTACAGAAGGGAATGCCATCAGTCAGTAGTTATTAATATATACACAAGGCAGGCCATCACGGTGCATCTCGTAGCAAAAAAGATACCGAGTCCTTCAAGGTTGCCGCCGTATATAAGGATATGTGGCTTATCAAAGCCACGACTTTTTCGCCTGCACCGGCCCGTCGAAAGCCAGCGAAGGACGTGGATCAACGAATGGCAAAATCAGTTTTTGGGCCGTGACGGGGAGCCACAAAATCCCCAGCGAAAAGGCAGAAAAGTCCCCTCGCCGCTATCGCTGGTTGCGTGCAAATCCGGTGCAGGCCCGTTAGTGGTCCGGGTCACACGGCCACCCCCGGGGAGGGAAGCACAGGCTGGCAGTGGCGGTGTCTTTCTCGACGGGGTGGCACACGCACGTTACGAAGGGGGAAGAGGTACTTTTCTAGCTGGTACAGGAGGTGCAAAAGAAGAGACGAGAAGATGCGGAAAACGGGCTTGTCGGTACCAAGAGTGGCTGTTCCCGTGAGGCTTGTGCGTGTGTGTGTCTGTGTGAACGGTCCGCTTCTTTTTTTCCCTGGATTACATACTAATACATACTAACCGGAGCCTAGCACCTCCTGCTAACAAACTTCCTGTACTAATTTTGCCCAACTGTGCCTCTTTCTCTTCTCTTCCTTTCCAACCCCTCCACTTGGACTTGGACATACTACCAAATCCAAACGACACATCACGACTTCAGGGACTCGCAACTCCCGCTCGCAGAAGAAAGCATCCTCCTAGTGCTCTGGACTTGCAGACGGTCGCCTTGCATCGTCTCCATCGTCCTTCCTAGGCCTTCCGCCTTGATCTTCTTTCGTCGTGTTCGGTGAGTCCTGGCGCCTCCGCATCGTGACCCGACCTGTCCGGATGCAAAATACTGACGGCCGGTTCTGACAGCCACGATCCGAGATCCATCTCGACCTCTATTTAGATACCACATACCCTCATCACAATGGCTCTGAAGCGCATCAACAAGGAGCTCAAGGACCTTGGCACGTAAGTCTCTCTCCTCTCTCTCCCCCTACTCTCCGCTTCTGGCTTCTGCCCTCATCCCTTCCGCCTTCTTCCCCGGGATCCTGGCTTCGCCATCCCCTCGGTCTCTCGATCATCGCTAGGTGCCGCTCTCTGGCTACGTCCATCGTCTGCAGCCCAAGGCCGTTGTGTGAGGTGGGGTTTGATGAGCGG